GAGTAGAAGACTAGAGGAGGTGAGAGAGAGTAGAGTAGAGTAAGAGGAGTAGAGTAAGAGCTGCAGAGAGGAGGATAGTAGAGGAGTAGGCGAGAGGAGGAGGGAGTAGAGGAGTAGGCGGAGATCGAGGAGGAGGGAGTAGAGGAGGAGGGAGTAGTAGTAGGCGGTAGTAGTAGTATACAACAGTGAGTATAGCAGTAGTATAGGAGTAGTATAGGAGGACGGTGAGTGAGTAGCAGAGACAGTATAGGAATAGATTAAGTAGAGAAATAGGTAGCACCACCACCAAAATAATATCAAATTTGGCAAAATTGCGGCGCAGAGTGGCCAATTCATCTCAAAATTCTCACAACTTTAGCATGTGATCGGTTTAAAGGCAAGGTGCATCATAGTCGGGTGCCATATGCTCGAATTTTGTCACAAATTTCTTTGGCATCATAGGCAACAAAAGAATTGAATTCAAATGCTACGATTCAAAGCAAAAGCATCATAGATCAAGAGTATAGCGGTTCAAAATTCACCAAGTGTAGTTTATATCTGTACAATTTTCATAGTCCATTCCAAAAGGAGTTTACTATACCCCTTGTTCATAGTTGAGGTCATCTCAAAATTAAGTATAGGAATAGATTAAGTAGAGAAAGTAGTAGGCGATAGTAATAGTATACTACTAGAAATTGCAAAGCAGCCAGTGACCAATTCATCTCAAATTTCTCACAAATAGGTTGTTGGAGACAATCTTTGTTGAGATTCGATGTTGTTGGAGACAACCACGTATAAATAGGTCACAAATTCCGACTAAATATGGAAACTTGACTCAACCCTGTTGGAGATAAGCCTATAAAGGGATTGTTAAAAAAGACAACTGTGTTTCATGGCTAAATATGGGCGATATTGAAAATTCCTATCCACAATTACGTGACTACATATTCAAAGTTGCTTGGCATAATGAGCATATAATTTATAACTAAGCTCGAGCTTGACTCTAAGAGCTCTATGAAACAGACCCTAATGAAAGCGCCTTAAACACTAAGTTAACAGAAGAATTAGAAGACTCCTCATCATACCGAAGGAAAGAGCAGTTTTGCATTTTCACGATGAGATGAACAACGTAGTGGAACCTAGAGAAAGCTAGGATAGCCCAAATGTGAATCTCTAATTACATTTCAGGATGGGGAAAATATAGCGATTACTACAAGAATAAAATTTGAGCTTTGGAGACAGCATTGTAATTACAGAACCAAGGTACTCGTAGTTCTTACCTCGGCCTAGTTCTTACCTCGGCCTGGGCGCAAAGCAGTTCCAAGTGAGGAGGTAGCGGCTAGAGCCGTCGTGCTCGAGAACGGGGCCGGCGTGTGGGCGGTGACCAAGGGGAGGAGGAGGGGACGGTGGACTGAGGAGGGAGGACAGGGACGGTGGCCAGGGGGAGGAGGACAGGGCCCAGCGTGTGGGCGGTGATCGCGGAGGAGCTCGGTGGCCGGCGCTAGGGTTCGAGGGGACGGGGCCCATGCGGAGGAGCTCAGCGGCGGCGGCTGGAGCAAGGGTTCCGGGAGAGGAGGAGGAGAGGCGAGCACACGGCACGGGGGAGAGGAGGAGGGGGGGTCAGTGATGGGTGGCGCTAGGGTTCGGGACCAGCCTGGCATGGAGGAGCTTCATGCGGCAAGGCTGGAGCAAGGGTTCCGGGAGAGGAGGACGGGCCCCAGCGGAGGAGCTCGGCGGGCGCGATACTTCTCAATGGCGGCGTAGGAGTTCCCGTGTGACGGGCGCCGAGGAGGAGGCAAGGGGCGCGGGCAAGGAGAGGAGGAGAGGGGCGCGGACTGCAGGACTGCAGGGAGGAGAAACGAGGCGGGGAGTGGTCGGCTTGTGGAGGAGCTCAATCGGCGGTGGAGATGGTGGCGGCGGCGTGAGATTTTAAGCAGACCCTTCGGGTTAAAATGAACATGAAAAGCTGAGAATGTTGAGGGTGGGGACGGCTTATATAGGTTTGCGATTAACCACGGCGGGCAACGTATTGACCCTTGCCATGAAATGTTTACATGGTGCGTGCGGTTAAGTTGTTCGCCATGGGTCAAATTTTTTGTTGACCAAATCAAACTGAAGCCGTGATAAAATGTGGCCTAAAAATGATATTTGATTTTTTTGACGGAGCCAAAATATGGCTTGTGCCAAAATCTAGCGTAGCAAAAAAAATATTTAGATGATAACCAAGCTAAATTCTTGATTTTTTTCCTTCAAGTAAATATGGTTATGTGGAATCTTGTTTTGTAGATAAATTCTTAATAAATATTATAGTAAAAAGAAATTACAAATTAGACACATGATTAAATAGATATTAGCATTTGAAGTTTGATTATCAACTCAGTACATGCAAAAACAAAATATAGCAATAAGAAAGAGCCTCCATACATACAGTAGTGCCGGTGGACAAAGTGGTCCACATGCCCGAAAAAGACGATCCCCAAATGCCAGAAAAGGCAAATCACTCTCGCACCTGCTAAGCGGTATTTTTAGAGTGAGATTCTCTGCTTGATTGTGTGAAGCGATTCTCTAAAATAAACTAAGAGGCTAAGAGCTAAAAAAAAAGTAGCTTCTTCTAATTACGTGAAATAAACTAAGAGGCTAAGGCTAAGAGTTTATGCTAAAGAATAAAAAAATCATTTGTAACCTTATTATCACTCCATATTAGAAGAACAACGAGGAGCATGACAGACTCTGCGAAACGAACAATCAAGAACCGAAGACCCGTGGAGAAGATGAAGTAGGCAGGCGTATTTATAGAGGCTTTCTGCTGCAAGGCGGTTTAAACAACCCGCCACGGTAAATACTAATATTAACCATGCGGCGGGCAATTTATGCCATTGCCCATGTAAATATAAATTTCTGCGGCGGTCGATTAATGTGGCCGCGCATGGTTAATCTTATTAATGGCGGGCCATTCTCTACACCGCCGCGGTAAATATCAATTTCTGCGGCGGGCAAGTAAGGTGGCCCGCCGCTGGTAAACCCTTTTTCCAGCAGCGGGCGCCTCGGTGGCCGGCCTCGGTGGCCGGCCACCGGTTAACCGTGGCGGGCAAAAGTGGTGCCCGCCACGGAGCCCATTTTGGCCACGCTGCGCAAATTGATTCGTGTAGTAGTGTTGGCGCGGGCTGGCGTTGAACGTAGGAGGCGCTGGGAGGGGGTCCCGATTTGGTATCTGATGTGGGGGGTCGCTTTATTTGTAATCCGGGGTTTGAACTTCTCTACTTTGGGAACTTCTCTACTGTGGTGATGCTGAAAGTATCCACATGCTGCACTCAGACCTCAGACGAGGGAAGAGAGGTGAGGGCGAGCAATCATTTGCTCTGATTTTGTCCTCAGTAGCAACAGCAACTTGTCGGGTCTTTTAGATGTTTATTAAACTGCACAGTGAGCCTTTGCTGCATGTGTTCTGAAAAAGAAAACACTACTCGATGGATCACAGGCGGCTGCTTATTAGCCACGTCTGATTTCTCTGAACGGAGGGCCATCAGACGCAGTTACCATCCTTCCTGGTCCCGTTGGCCCACTCGGTTCATGCCACCGAGAACGGCCCGAGCGAAAGTCAATGGAAGGCCCAAATCCGCATTTCATCTCCTTAGGCCTTGACCATCTCCAACGGTAGAGAGCCAATGTACGTACCAGGCCACCACCAGTAGTATAGCAGACCGATCTGCGACTTCACAGCCCAGACGCAACAAGGGCCTAGGCCGCGCGGCTACGAGGCGACCAGGCCAGGGTGCCCCAGGCCCAGCGGCGGTCCCCCGGCTTCAGGACTCTTCCAGCGGGAACCCGAGCGACCTCGGATTCAGGCGGCGACGCCTGTCGGCGAGCGCGCGCCGCGTGCCTGCCCGCGGTCTCTCGTCGTCTCCAGAAGATGCGCCCCGGATACTCGCCTTTCCCCCTTCTTCTACCTCCTTCCACCTCCTTCTCCCCACTCCGTGCCCCCTCGGATCGCGCTCGCACTGCAACTGTTGTTCTCCTCTCTGAAGAAGCGTCACATAGCACCGCCCGGAGATTCCCCGTCCCGTCGCCGTCACCGTCGCCGTCGCCTGGCCAAGTAAGTAATGAGTAATCCCCTGAGTCTCCTACACATCTTTACTTCGAACTGCCATTACGTTAGTTGGAGCAATGCTTTGTACCTTGCCATTCCATGTTAACTGCGCGTCCACATTCGGGGCCGCAAGATTTCGTGCTAGGCCACCATTGCGCATTTGTGTTACATTTCCACTCGGAGCACACCGCGGTTAAATTGTGCGATCCTTTGGTGTGGATACTGGCTTTCTGGTGTTAGCGGATCACCTTGCACTGAACATGGAACGGGGAAGGGGGAACTGAACGAGGCACGCAGTTTCAGAGACTTATGTGTATTCCAGTGACTCTGCGAATGGTCGAGGGAATTGATCGCCTTGGCTTCCTAATCGTCGCTTCCTTTTTGTTGCGAATTCAGTGCATCTGTGATTTATTCGGCACATTTACGGTCGTGTAGGAATTTAGTCTGGGAATGTGGTGCAATATGTCAGGATTGGTCCAAGATCACTATCTGAATATATATGTAGGTCGAATAACGTGACTGGGCTTGTGTGGTGTACGATGGAAGCTTTGTGCCTTGCATCAGTTGTAGCCGGGCAGTACAAAGCTAAACCTGAAGTTCGGTAGCTTTCTTCCTATTAGCCATGTCTCCAAATGTCTTCATGCTGTAGCACTCAGCTATATATGCCAAGATGTTACTTATACTTTCTGTCATGTCTCGTTTCTGTTAACCTCGGTGTGCCACATAGCCGCATAGGGCTTCGTTCCATGCTGTTTGTTAACCTATTCACTTCTTTCACGTTGGTTTCTGTACATTTGCTGCCGTAGATTTTGTGTTTTACCGCTTGTTTCATATTCATAATAACTCAAGCTACGATTCTCCAGTCTCGAGCTTCTTTGTTCCAAAAAAAAGAATTGTAGCAGCAATGTATATCTGATGCAATATTGTTTGTAGGATGGCTGAACAATTCTATACTGTGGCATCGGATAGTGAAACCACTGGGGAAGACAAATCACAGCCTTCATTACCTGATGTTGCTATTGGCATTGACATTGGGACTTCCAAATGCAGTGTTGCTGTTTGGAATGGCCACCAAGTTGAGCTCTTAAAGAATACCCGTAATCAGAAAGGGATGAGGTCATATGTCATGTTCAAAGATGATACTCTTTCAGCAGGAGTTACTGGAGGGGCAGCCAAGGAAAATGCACATGAGGAAAGAGACATCTTATCAGGAAGTGCCATATTCAACATGAAACGCCTGATAGGAAGAATGGACACTGATGAAGTGGTTCAAGCTAGCAAGACCCTCCCATTTCTTGTGCAGACATTGGGTATCGGTGTGAGACCGTTTATCGCGGCACTCGTGAACAACATGTGGCGATCTACAACCCCGGAAGAGGTCCTCGCCATCTTTCTACTTGAATTGAAGGCCTTGGTGGAGATGCATCTTAAACATCCTGTGAGGAATGCTGTGCTTACCATACCAGTTGCATTCAGTCGATTTCAACAGACCAGGATTGAGAGAGCCTGTGCAATGGCTGGGCTGCATGTGTTGCGGTTGATGCCGGAACCAACTGCTGTGGCGCTTCTGTACGCTCAGCAGCAGCAGCAGCTTATGCATGACAATATGGGAAGCGGCATTGAGAAAATTGCTCTGATATTTAACATGGGTGCTGGGTACTGTGATGCAGCCGTGGCTGCCACAGCTGGTGGTGTTTCTCAGATAAGAGCATTATCAGGATGCACAGCTGGTGGGGAGGATATACTTCAGAACATAATGCGCCATGTTCTTCCCAATTTTGACAGTTTGTATGCTGGCCAGACAGTGGATAGAATCCACTCGATGAGTTTACTGCGAATTGCAACTCAGGATGCAATTCACAAACTGGTTAACCAGGAAACTGTGGAGATCAATATAGATTTGGGGAATGGCCACAAAGTGTCCAAAGTCCTAGACCATTCAGAGTTTGAACAAGTCAACCGGGCAATTTTTGATAAGTGCGAAAAGATCATCAACCAGTGCTTGGTTGATGCCAAGTTAGTACCAGAGGACATCAATGATGTCGTATTGGTTGGAGGTTGTTCGAAGATCCCCAGAATCAGAAGCCTTGTCCTGGGTTTATGCAAGAAGGAGATCTCTTACAAGAATATAGATGCTCTAGAAGCTGCTGTTTCAGGTGCTGCACTGGAAGGAGCCATCGCTTCAGGAGTGAATGATTCTTCAGGGAGCTTGGATCTTCTCACAATCCAGGCGACTCCTATGAACCTGGGAATCCGTGCCTATGGTGATAGCTTCGCTGCAATCATTCCCAGGAACACGACAGTTCCAGCAAGAAGGGACATGCTGTTTACAACGACACACGACAACCAGACTGAAGCCCTAATTGCTGTGTATGAAGGAGAAGGGGAACGTGCTGAAGATAACCATCTGTTAGGATACTTCAAGATCACTGGAATACCAGCAGCCCCTAAGGGAACAGTTGAGATCAGTGTATGCATGGACATCGATGCTGCCAATGTCCTCAGGGTGTTTGCAGGGGTCGGCAAGCCTCAAGGCCCAGCCATTCCGCCGTTCATCGAGGTGAGGATGCCAACGCTAGACGATGGCCATGGCTGGTGTGGGCAAGCTCTGGCAAAGATGTATGGGAAGACTCTCGACCTTGCTGTTCTTCCAAAGAAGCTGCAGCCATGATATGTGCCTTCCGTGGCCCGGTAAGTAGCTGGTGTGCGTACGCGGTGGCTACTCACTGTTTAGTATTCACTGTGTTATGGTCCGGTCCCCTGTCCTTGTGTGGCCACTGTTTATATGCTGTTGGGCAGTCTACAGAACTGAACTACCAGGTTTCATCCTTGTACAATAACGTGTCTCTCGTACATGTGAAATGAATGTTGCGCATGTTTGGACTTCATAGTTTGCTGCAGTTGTTGAGTGCTGGTGTACAGAACGAAACTTTCAGTTTCATCCTTTGTTTTGTTGAGTGCTGTATAAACTCGGGAGTGCGTGAGGATGGCTTGGGACAAGATATGTGCTAGAGATAGAGTAGCGTGGAGAAGGGGAAAGAGGAGGTAGCCGGAGACAGAGCAGAGGATTGGGTTCGAATTATAGTTCATTCTCTTCATAGTTGAATTCATTACAGGGGCACGTACAACGGGTCTCTTCACCCCGTCTCTACGATGCCAGTTGAGTCTCCGTCGTCTCGTGAGGCGACGGGTAGAGCTCGTCCCCTAGGCCGAATCGTCAGCTCGAGTACGCTCGCTGTCGCCGACTTGAGGGCACGCGGATCCCGTGCACGCACGCGCGGTTCAGTTTGGGCGCGCGGGAACCTCGCCTTCGCCTTCGCCTTTGGTCGCGCCGGTGTCCGCTCGCCCCGTTGTTCACTGTCTGGACGCAGCGGCGGCATCCATCGCCACCACTGACGGGCAAGCACTCGGCGACGGCGACCTCCTGCATGGACGGATCTGGAGGATGTGGTGTTCCCGGCATCGGTCGCTCCTACTGAGTGACTCTTTGGGTCTGCTTCTGAATATTTGCTTTTTACCTAGGTACCTATTCACAACAGACCTGTGAACAGATCTGTTAAATTTCTCTGGTAGACTTGCTGCTCTGTTAAGCTTGGTGCCTATTAAATTTCTCTGATAAGCTTGCTGTCCTGTTAAGCTTTCCACCTGATTACTGAAACTATGTCAACAGGTATGTTGAAGCTTGCTGTCATCTTTCCATATGCTGTTATCTGAAGGTTGCTGCACTCCCATGCGTAACTGCAGCACTAGAAAGTGTGAACCGCAGCACTAGCTAGTGTGAATATGTTTTCAGTGAATCTCTCCCCTTCCTGTGTAGCATCTGTTATCCTATCTGTTTGTTGCATAAATTTCAGTTAAGTTGTTGCCATGAATGTTTCTAAATTTTCAGTTAAGTTGCCGCCATGAATATTTCTGTATTTTCAGTTAAGTTGATGCCATGAATGTTTCTGAATTTTCAATTCTGCAGGTACTGTGAACTTGATCCTATCTTCAGGTAGAGTGAGTAAGTGCCTGTGAGCACTGTGATGTTATTCGCTGGCAGCATGTTCGGTTGGCTGGTTCGTATCGTTGCTGGTTCGTGAAGAAGTACTGCTGGCTGGTTTGTGTGAGAGAAAATACTGTTACAGGCTGGTGTCTGTTAAGCCACTGGTTTCTGGATGTGCTGCCATTTTTCTAAAAACAGAGACTGAGGTCACTGGTATATAGCATCTGTTATCTGATTATTTCTAAAACTAACTCTTAGTGTGAATCGAGCATGTCTACCCTGTATGATCGTGTGGAGGTTAGGATGTGAGCTTTTAGTGTGAATCGAGCATGTCTACCCTGTATGGTCGTGTGCTAGTTACAGACTGCTCCCTTCCACTTAGACAAAAAAATGTTACACTTATAAACTATATATGATTTATATTGATGTTTTTTTTTAAAACATTGTGATCATGTATGTTTGATCCGTTTTCTATCAACTAGCAACATGATGGTATACAAAACAGTGTTCATAGTTGATCTTGGTTACATGCAAAGCATTAAAGAACGTGTAGACAGTGAAACACTGTCCATTGTACGAACTATCTTTATAGCTACATGAATGCTATATTCGAGGCTGTTGCAGACCAGACCACCCCTGGTACATACACTAAGTAGCCGCGCGTGGGCGGTGCTGACTACGGGCGGTGCCGAGGCGTACTCGAGCTCGCTTGGCTCACGCACTCTGGCTCCGTTCCCTTCGTTGAAAAAACAAGCCGAAATACTGTTCCGGCTGATTTGTTGTTAGAGAAAAACACTGTTCCGGCTGAAAAAAAAGGCTAAAAAGTACTGATTATAAGATAAACCGACAGGGGCTAAAGTATTGACTCAATCAGGCCCGTAGACCTTGACGTACGACACTCACCGGCCTTGACGCTACGAGGCGTGGACCTGGGCCGCCTGGCAGATTCGGGCCCAACCACTCACTCCTTCAGCTACTGCATTGCTCCCACCATTATCCACATTAGCAGGTACCGTCGTGCTCTCCACTCCAAAAAAAAGTACCGTAGCTCACATCCCTCCCCCCTTCAAAAGCTGTTTGACCCCAAACAGCAACTCGAGAAAATTGTTGCTTTAGAGGAAAGAGATCTTCCCAAGCTGCTAGAGTAGCGGGCATGCCAGATCGACCATTGAATCAACAGCTGAGTCTTCGTAGAGTTGCCATCGGCCACCATACGCCGTTGCAAGAAGTGTTCAGGAACGCTCCCATGAAAAGAAGAACCAGAAGTACTGAAGATACCTATTGTTGCTTCCCTACCATTTTATTAAGCTAGGAAACGTGAAAGACGGGATGCACTGAAGAAGACCTGGGCAATGGCAAACGATATGCGACTGCCAATCACCTGATACGGCTCAAAATACTTGAATGCAAGTTTTTATTAGCTCTCGAAGCTAAGGAAGACCTGACATATGGCCGCATCTTGGCAAACACCCAATCTCCAACCAGAAATGAGCGTTCGGAGTGATGAGCATTAGCAAACTTTGATCATACGAGCATTAGCACGAGCCAAATGTTGACTTACCAAATCAGTCATAAGCTGACGGTCCTCCAACCAAGACTAAAGATTAGCAATAGGAGATGTATCAACAGCGGAGATACCAAAGTGAGCTGTTAGATAGGCATACAACACCTCGAATGGGTAACGATTCAAGGCCAAATGGTGGCTGCAGTTGTACCATCACTATGCCAAATGAAGCCAAATCACTCCACTAATACTAGTTCACTAAGCTAAACACTGGTTCATTCTCAATATTTCCTTGGTTGACTTCTGCCAGCCCATCAGCAAGGTCAACATTGCTGGACTTAATAGCATGGACCATGTATGTCTATGAGTAATCCATAACTCTTGCGTTAGGAGGAGTCTTCATGTCATCAGTTCGTTCTGGCCCATTAGAGGACATCTCTAGCTATTTTAGAGTTTCGCCCTACTAGAAAGCTTTAGTAAACTTTTCCTCCATAACTCATTGTCTACCCTTTAACCACATATACCTCCACCCCTAAACATGCACTTTGCTAGCAAAACGTGTGTCACCCTTACTGCCTTTAGATGAGTTAAATCATCGCAATCCAATCCTTCAACAATTTTGTATTCATCTCGCTTTTCCCAGCTACAAATTATTTCTCTTCGGCACTCTCCTCGTAACTATGAGACTTTTTAGTACTATGCCATGCACATCTGCCCAACTTATAAGATAATCATTTTTTGCACATATATGAAGAAAGTGTGCATAGTCCAGGTCATCACCATAAGAATTTTTTTAGCTTTATGGGTTAAACCACGTGCAGGAAATTCCTCTCTTAATAGCTTATGGAACTCACAAAAACATGGTTGCATCAAGACTTTTGGCCATGAAAGTGCGTCTAGCCCTTTAGTGGGTTTTGGATGATTGAATGACAACATGATTAAAGGTCTAACTTGTTTGCTAAGTGTGAGCAGGAAATAGGTTATCTCACATATATTTAATGAAAGCCAAAATGATATATTGTTGGAAACAATCTAGTTCAAACACAAGACAACAATGCAAATGCAATTCATGTAAGGCTTATTTATTGTGGAATTTCGATAACTCATATGAAAGCAGGCATGTTGAAAAATAATTAATGAGACAAGAAGGATTGTATATGGAATGGTCACAAGCTTGCTATATGAAAGACAAGTATACAAATGAACTTAATGAATGATTCGACACCAAGTGTGACTAGATGGCTTGAGATGGTGAAAATAGCAAGGAAAAGACTTCGAGGTACCAAGCAAAGGTGAAGGGCAAGCGATGGCTTGGCAGCCGAGGAATCTAGCTAAGGTGAAGAAGAAAGTACTTGGATTTAGTTGAGGTACTAATCAAGCTTGATGGTCATATCGATGTGGAGAATCAAATCCTTGTTGAAGAATGTTGTTTGAAGTGACTTGATACATTTGGAATAATTAACATTTGTTGAATGAAGTCAAGTCACGTGCTCAAGATGGATATGCTCAAGATGGAAATCAAAATAGATCATGTTGACACTAGTGGATGAAGATTGAAGATATCGGCATTGGTTTGAAGAAGATCAACTCAAAAGGTATAAATTTGTTTTTCATTTGAATTTGAGTTAATAGAAATGTCGTACTATTAAGAGTGATGCAACATGATGATAGATGATGTTTCATAAGTGCTCAAGCCTACCCATGAGAGTTTGAGAGAGAGACATCCAAAAATGCTAACTAGTGGTGCTGCACTGGGCATACCGGACGTGTCCGGTATTTGTGTGAAGCACAAAATCTTCTCTATGGTTTGGGTGTTTGAGTTTGTCGGAAGTCCCAGCAAGCGCTGGAAGTTTTGACCCTTTGCGCTGACTAGAGCTAACTAACCAAGTCATATGCCTACCGGACGCATCCGGTATTTGCCCAATCACAGCAATTCCTTCGTTGTCTCGGCTTGGCTCGTCGGGAGTTCCGGGGGTCGAGAGTTCTCGCGATTGTTGGGAGTTCCGACGTCTCGCGCGTCACTGACAAAGTGACCGTTGGGGCTGACGTGTCCGGTATTGCCCAATGGTCACATAACGACTAGTTTTTCAAAAGGGCTATAAATACCCCTTAACCTCCACTTTTGGAGGCTGCTGGTTACGCTGACTCTCTGACATGTTTTTGAGCCTTGAGAACACTCTCC